TTTAAAAAAAATTATTTATACCGGAGCCGGCAGGTGGTGTGGTAGTTAAGGTGCTGGACTCCCACATGGCCGACCATGGCTTGAGTCCCAGACCCGGTGACATGCTTTCTCACTTTCTCTCTCTAGTCAGATTGAAAATAATAATAAATAAAATTAAATAATTATTTTTTTAAAATAATTTATTTATTTAATTCCATTTGTTATTATTAATTTTTATTAGAATTACTTTATTTAACTTTGACTCAGACTGCGGTCGGCCGTGTGGGGAGTCCAGCACCTCAACCACCACGCCTCCTGCCAGCCACTATTAATATTTAATTTTGACAGAGAGAGACAGGGAGAGGAAAGGAAGGCAATAAAGCAGCCGCCAAGTCCGGGGCTCACTACCGTCAGCCATGTGGGCCACTGCGCCGCCTGCCGGCCACAACTCATTTTCTTTTTAAAGAATTATTTATTTAATTTCATTTATTTGACCAGAGAGAGAGAGAACATGAGAAAGGAAGTCACCAGGTCCAGGACTCAAACCACGGTCGGCCATGTGGGAGTCCAGCGCCTCAACCACCACGCCACCTGCCGGCCCCTCCGAAACATTGTTTTAAATTGCCAGATGGCACAGGAGCTCCCCAGAGGGAGACAGAACCCCCAAAGGGGCATGGTCACGCCGCAATGCTTTTTCTCCCAGTTCTCCGTTCTGTCAGGATTTGGGGTCTGCATACATACAGACGGGGGTTTTTCAAGCTTCCAGGGCCCGGGTCTACACCGCAGCTGGCCACGTGGGGTCCCTTCTGCACTTGGCCGCTGTGCACCCGGTTGGCCCCAAACGCGGACAGTTCCCTCCCCTGCGCCCCTGCGCCCAGGGCCCCTACCCCAGCTTACTGGGAAAAGTACTTTCCAGGAGGGACAACCTGCGACCAGGCAGCCGTCATCCGGGCCTGGAATCCGGCCCGGAATGAACCTCCTGGCTCTGCTAAGAGCAATGCTTAATGAAGGGTTTCCACGCAAGCTGAGCCTCCCTGCCACGCCAGTGCTGCCAGAGCTGAAGGGATGTGCCCTGGGCAGACGCGTCCATCTGCCTGGGCCCTCGCTTCCCCCCCAGGGGCCTTCTGCCCGGCCCCAGGCGTGCCCTGGCAGCCTGGAAGGAGAACACCCAACATGAACACGCGGCTTTCTGCTGCTGCCCCATTACCGACTCGCTCCCTCCAGTGAATTGATTTTCAAAATAAACCCTGTAATTACCTTGCGGAAAGAACAAGGACAACGCGGGACGCGGCCATCTGTAGAGGAACATTTACGGCGACAAAGCCATGGGGTTGACAGACCCCCTGCGACCTTCAAATCAGAGTTTAGTATTCTGTGCTGGAAGTTGTTAAGAGTCCTGATTTCAGCCAGATGGTGGCGTGGCGGTAATAGCACAGAACCCCTACATGGCTGACCACGGTTCGAGTCCTGGAGCTGGCAGCTTGAAAAATCATGCCGGGTGCGTGCGTGCGTGCGTGCGCATGCCCAAAATCCCTGCAGGAGGATGGAGAAGGGACTGCGGCGTGGTCGTATTTCCCCACTTCCCCTCTCTGCTGCTCTTTGGCGAGTGCACATGCTCTGTGGCAAAAAACTTAAAAATAAAAAAAGAGTCCTGATTTCACTGCAGAAATTCTGACTTCTTGCTCCCATTAAAAAAAAAAAAAAAACAACTTTAATTTTCTTTTTCTTTTGAAAGGTTTTGCTATAGGCGTGCACTCTCCAGAAAGACAGAGAGACAGAAAGCGAGAAATCACCCCCCAAGGGGGATGGCCATGCTGCAATCCCTTCTCCTCCATCCTCCTCTGGGGATCTTGGGCACGCATGCACACACACCCGGCATGAGTTTAAGCCACTGGGTTCGGGACTCAAACCATGGTCAACTACGTGGAAGTCCAGCAACGTAGCCATTACGCCAACTGCTGGTCCTGAGTAGGTGAGTTTTGATGCATTAGATGAAAGTGAATTTTAAGAAATCACCCTGTACTGGGGGCTGGCAGGTGGTGTGGTGGTTAAGAGCACTGGACTCCCACATGGCTGACGACAGTTTGAGTCCCAGACCTGGCGGCTTGCTTTCTCACTTTCCTTCTCTCTCTCTGGCGAATGCATGTACACTATAGCGAACAAAATAATAAAAATTAAATTAGGGGAACCAGCAGTTAGCGTAATGGCTATGTCGTTGGACTCCCACGTAGTCGACCGCGGTTCGTGTCCCGGACCCGGTGGCTTAAAACTCACGCCGGGCGCGTGTGCGTGTGTGCCCAAGATCCCGAGAGGAGAATGGAGGAGAAGGGATTGCGGCGTGACCATCCCCCCGAGGGGTGATTTCTCGCTTTCTGTCTCTATGTCTCTCTCTGTCTGGCAAGCGCACGCGCCCTACAGTGAAAATCTCTCAAAAAAAAATAAAAATAAAAAATTAAATTAGAAAAAATAAAGTCTGTCCCTTTAAAAAAACACACGGCACCAGCACCCATCACAATCCATATTCACAGTGCACCCTGCCCCTCCTTAAAGGAGTCTCTGCACCCACCATGCAGCCATGGCCCTAGCAGACTCCAGCCCTCCCTACCAGCACCCTTTCTTTCCGTAGACAGCAGGCTGCATGTCCGCACTAAAACTCAGCCTGGGGGCCAGCAGGTGACATGGTGATTGAGGCGCTGGACTCCCACATGGCTGCTGACCGCGGTTCAAGTCCTGGACCTGGCAGCTTGCTTTCTCACTTTCCCTCTGTCTGTCTCTAGTCAAATTAAAAAATAAAGAAATACATAAATTAAATAATTCTTTAATAATTTTTTATAAAAAGGGGGCCAGCAGTTATCATAATGGCTATGTCACTGGACTCCCATGCAGTTGACCATGGTTCGAGTCCTGGACCCGGTGGCTTAAACTCACGCCAGGCACGTGTGCATGTGTGGCCAAGATCCTGAGAGGAGAATGGAGGAGAAGGGATTGCGTGGCCATCCCCCCTGGGGGGTGATTTCTCGCTGTCTCTATGTCTCTGTCTGTCTGGCGAGCGCACGCGCCCTATAGTAAAAACCTCTCCAAAAAAAAAGAATTTCGTGCACACATGCACATGTGGCCGGGGTGAGTTTCAAATTGCAGGGTCCAGGACTGGAACTGCGGTCAACTCTGTGGGAGTCCAGCGACATAATCATTACACCATCCGCTGGTCCCCAGTGAGGGATTTTTGCTATAGGGTGCATGCACTTGCTGGAGACAGAGACAGAGAGAGAGGGAGGGAGGGAGGAGAAATCACCACTGGAGGGGGGATGGCCACGCTGCAATCCGGGATCCTGGGCACACACACCCGTGCCCGGCGTGTTTCAAGCCACCGGGCCCAGGACTGGAATCTGGGCCATCAGCACCTTAACCACCAGGCCAGTGAATGACAGCAGAGGAAACTGAAGTCACCTGTCTGGGACAAAGATCACAACAGTTACCACCAGAGGTGAAGGTGGGAGCCCCAGGCAACACATCTCCAGCGCTAGGACCGCTCGCTCAGTGTCACATCGCTCGCTCAGTGTCACAGCGGACGTCCAACTGCAGGAGCCGGAGTAAGGTGAGGTTGTTTACCATGCCGGTCACGCCCAGGCTGACAGTGCTGCTTAAAGAGAAGACACCGTAGCTTCCCCTGGTCTATCAGTGCGAACCAGTTAGCGGAGTTAATGCCGCCAGGCTCGTGAACGCGGAGGGGAAGGGAGGGCGCGCAGAGCCGTTCTGGGCGACTCCTGCGGGGAAGGGGCACGGTGGAGAGCGGGGATCGCAGACGCCGCTCAGACTCCGGGACCCGGTGCCGGGACCCCGCTGGGGGCTGTCCGCCCTGGGCCACTCCCGCTCTCGGACCCGGCGGAGCACACCCCCTCTTCCTCTTCGCCCGACCCCTCGACTCCGGCTGCCGGATTCCAGGCGGGACAGGTTGGCTCCGCGGCACCCGTCGGAGAGAGCCGGTCGTGGGGAACAAACGGGACGCTGGTAACAGCCTCACCCCGTAATAGCCGGAGGGTGGGACTGCCTCCAGTGTCCTCGGAGGGTTGAAACCCAAAGCGATAGAACGTGCGGTGCGCCAGCGCTGCGTTCCAAAGCGGGCAGCCTGCCATCTCCCGGGACGAGGGAACTCTGTGAACGGAACGTGCGAATACGGAAGATTGGCCCTTCTCGCCACCCGTGTGCGCGCCGGGCTCCCGTACATCCGGGCATTGCGCCTCTCCAGCATGGCCCCTGCAGCCGAGCCACTCGGCCACACCAAACCCGTCAGACCCGGCCGCCGGATGCGCTTTGCCTCCGTTATCGCTTCTGATTGGCTCCGAGGCGCTCGCAATACCTTTGGAGAATGTAGTCCTCTGGGGCGCCGCGCCTGCGTCCCTTGCCGGCGTCTGACAGCCACCGGAAGTACGTCACCACAGTTCCCGGGGTCCCACAAGGGCGAACACAGCCGCGCGGCATGACGGGAGTAGTAGTTCGGCCGTTGCGAGCCCCAACCGCCATCCACTGCGATTAGAACGGCAATTCCCTGCATGCACCGTGGTCACGGCGTGCAGCGGCTGGCCCGCGGCCTTCTGGGAAGTGTAGTCTTTAGGCCTCCGCAGCCCCCCTGCGCGCCGCGGAGTGCGCCGGCACGAAGGACTTCACTTCCCGGCGTGCTCTCATACCGCCCGACGCCCCGCGGCGCGCAGCCATTTTGTTCCGCCCGAGGAGCCTCTAAGATGGCGGCGGGGGAGACGGTGAAGGTTGCCGTCCGGCCGTCCGGGCTGTAATCCGCCTTCTCTCCGTCCACCGGCGGCCGGCCCAT